TAGAGCAATTGTGCGGCCAGATTTGGATTCAGCACCCAGAAACGATGTGTTTTACTCAGGTGGTAATAAAAAATCTAAATTTATATAAATAATTAGAAAAGAAAAAAATAATAATTAACTTACCTGCGTACTAGCATTTTCAATGCGAATAGAATTCAATAAGGTGGGTTTGCAGCTTCAGCTTTTTATCAATCATGTTTGTATTTTAGTGCATTTATATTTATAGATTCTTGTAAATTCAGTGCTGCTACAGCTTTAAATATTTCAAATTGTTTCAGATTTTTACTATCTCGGAGTAATTTTAGTTCAAAAGCACTAAAAAAGGCACTAAGCACTAAATAATTTTTTTGGCGTTTTAAATATATGAAATCAATCCCATACTCTTGGATAAAAATTGGAGGTACACAAAATCAATCGCATACTCTTGCAGAAAATTAGAGCTATTGGAAAAGAGGACGTTGTACCTCCCATGCAACCCGAATATTTCAAATGGCATATCTGTAAGCGTTCATGAAAAAATGTTTAAACTTGGTACGGAAATATATGAAATCAATCACATACTCAAGGAGAAAAATTGGAGTTATTGGAAAAGGGCGTAGCACCTCCTATACAAACCGAAATTGTCATACTGTATATCTCTGGAAATGTTCATGGTAGAGTACTGGAACTTGGTATGGAGATATATGAAATCAATCGCATACTCATGAAGAAAAATTCGGATCATTTGAAAAGTGGGCGTGGCACCTCCCATAAAAACCGAATTTTTCATAATAAGTATCTCTGGAAGTGTTCATGGTAGAGTACTGGAATTTTATACTGGGGCACCTCCCATACAAGTCGAATTCTTATTACTGCATATTTCTAGAATTGTTCTTGGTAGAGTACTGGAACTTGGTGTGGTGATATATGAAATTAATCGCATAGTTATGGAGAAAATATGGAGCTATTGTAAAAGAGGACGTGGCACCTACCGTACAAGCCGAATTTCCTACTGCATATCTCTAAAAGTGTACAGTACTGGAACACTTTGTATGGAGATATATGAAATTAATCCCATACTCATTGATAAAAATGGGCTCTTTGAAAAGAGGGCGTCGAAAAGTACAAACATAAATACTGAGTTTTACTTATCTTTGAATGTGTGTATAATTCTTCTGCTGGTTTAATTGTGACTGAAATCCTAAATTGCTTGATGGATTTTAACAAAGTTTTGTGTGTTGGTTTGAGTGGGTCTCTGGATAGTCTAGTNTTCTTCTGTAGGTATATTTGTGAGTGAAATCCTAAATGGCTGGAGGGATTTTAACATAGTTTTGTGCGTGTGTTTGAGTGGGTCTCCGGATAGTTTTGTTTCACAATTTAATCCGCCAGTTGACGCTGGAGTTGAGTTATTACTAAAAATCTTTTTTATGATCCGATTTGGCGAACATGTATTTGAAACGGTAACGAGGCAGTCCAATTGCAAAAAAGAGCTGCCAGGTGGTGCTGAGGTCGAGTTGTTACTAAAAATCGACAAGTGAGAAAAGGTGCCGTAAATGCCAGACTAAATCGACCTGTTGCACCATTGAGTATATCGAACTCTCGTGTGTTTCGATTGGCCCAATGGGTGTGATTTGCCAATATTATTATGCGCTAAAGCTTCATTCGAAGAAACCAGTGTGCAGTTGTGCAGTGGTAAATATCAAATCACCACCTGTCGAAATACCTTAAAAGCCAGTTTCATGAAAGCAATTGAATGAAAATTTATTTTTTTAATTGAATTTAATATAGAACCTGACAGAAAAAAA